CCCCCCCCCGGCGCCCCTGTTCTTAACTACTACAACAGCAAACTTTACCTCAACATCTGTGAAACCGAACATGTTGAGGCTGTTTTTTTTGTGTTTATTGAATTATAGAAGTACATCTAACAATTACTTTCTGAGATTTTCATTAAAACCTGTTGGGTTAACACACACACACTCACACACACGCACACACATACACACACACACACACACACACACTGGTACACGATTGCCTCTTATGACGGTGGGTGATAAATTTGGGTGTAATTTGCGGGGGTGTTAGCGGGTGTTCAAATGACATCAGTTGCTCTAACACAATAGAAATCAACTGGTTTAGTACACAGCTGCAGCTCTCCTGCTGGAGGTAGCTTTGAATTGATTTCAAAATTTATGATGTCATATACTGTATGTACGTTTAACCATAATTGCTGAAAATAACATTTTAGTCTACTATTGTCACATTTGGCTGTATTTGTTGAATCATGTGTGGGATTTTTCCCTAAACAAATTGTAGTGCACCAAGTAAATACATACTCTTGGAAAATTGAGAAATTTAGGTGTCATGTTTGTTACTATTTTTTTTTATTATTTGTTAATATCGGTTACTGTTGGGGGAAAAAGGGGGGGCAAGGGGCAGAGAGCATGACCCCCAATTGCTGGCCTAAAGTTTACGCCCTTGGTGATAACAGAAGTGAAAGGGGAAACTCTGAGCTAAGATGAGAAGAGAGAAATGACCTTTAGTACCATAAAATGCTTGAAGCCTGCAGGACTTGTGTCCATGAAGACATCCATGGAGCATATCCAAGTTATTCAGTAAAAAAATAAATGAAAGAAAAATATGAATCTGTCAGCGGCTCTGAAAAATAACCCAGTAAAAAAAGGAACTGGAGTGAGTGTCAGCCAGTAAAAACTTTGTTTGGGGTGGTTTTTATTCTTCCAGAAAGCAGGGCAGTTTCATCAGAAGTGTTGTGTGTAGATAAAAGTGTATACTCTCAAACCTTCAGCACTCCCTCTGGTGTACTTGAAGTTGTTTCAAATATATTTTTGTTTGTTTGTTTGTTGGCCTCCAGTATGTTTTAGACTTCATTTTTACTTTTCATGTCTCAGTGTGGGTTAAAAAAAAAAGGTCCAGAGTCGAAGACTGACCCAAACATGGACCATGTTTTCACTCCACAACTTCCCAAGCACAAAACCATTTTGACAAGTTTAAATGTACCAGTTTGAGGAGAGTGAACAAGCTTTAAACATGCAGGTGTGACATGACAGAATACTGCTCCTCTGCTTCTTACCTGACACCTCTGCAGGGATGCCGGCCAACTTCTCACAGAGGATGTAATCGTTTGGGTTGATGAAGGGCAGCTGCTCCATCATGTACCTCTTCGGGATGAGGTAGAGGACCTCTGCCAGCTGCCCGTCCTCTATGACGGACATGCGCCTCACGGAGTTCTTCCTCTTCGCTCTGTCCAGGACGATCATGTCGCTGCTTTGGCTGGAGCCACAGATCCTGCCCAGGCTGTTGAGGTTGAGGAGACTTGACCTGCTCATGTCGTCGAGACTTTCAGCCACGCAGTCGAGGCCGAGGACGGGGTCCAAGTTTGAAACCATAAAAGCTGCAGACCTGAAGAGTCCGAGCTCGCTGTGGGATGCCAGGTATTAGGCTGCTGTGCGTGTGTGTGTGTGTGTGTGTGTGTGTGTGTGTGTGTGTGTGTGTGTGTGTGTGTGTGTGTGTGTGTGTGTGTGTGTGTGTGTGTGCGTGCGTGGTCCATCAGCCGGTCAAAGACTAACTCCAACCACACAGCCCCTAAGAAGATTAAGCTAGGTATATTTAGGGTTTCTCTTCACGACAAACGGAGCT